CTCTACTGACCAATTTTGAAGTAGATCCGATGAATTCCCTAGGAGGAGTTCAAATACAATGCAAAAAATCGCCAAAAAAGGCTGCGAAATTCAACGTGGCCAACTTTGACGGCACGCCACGGACACGCCCTTCAACGTACATGCACAAATAGTCAAAAGTCAGCCTTCGCACGGTCAGTGCTCGGGCCCTAAAAAGTACTACTTTATGATAAAAAAAATCATGTGAATATCTGTAATATGTGTAAATCAGTCCTGTTCATTGATTTGCAAAATTGGCCACAATTGGGGCGATATACAACACAATCGACGATAAAAAAAACACTCTGAATCGGGATCATTGTGAATGTCCTTACATGGCTTGACTTGAAAAGCTGTTTAGCACGTTAGCATACAGTCCTATACTGATTTCATGATTTAGTTTCAACAGAGGGGAAACGTCGGACCACGCATCTTTCCAGTCATTCCAAAAAGTCCCTGCAAAAAGTGAATGTGATGATGTGCTGCAATAGTATTTACATGTATAGATCTAGAATAGATAGATCGGGAGCTTTGCCCTGCTCCCACTACTTTTGGGTAAAAGCAGTCCTCTGATTTGACTGCCGCAAAACGCAAATTCAATTGCATAATATAATAATAGAATTTAGTTTTTCAGTTATTAGGAGCCCAGATCATATGGCCAGTAAAGCAAACAGTTCTGTCACTGAAGATCAACGATCAGCGTTGTTGAACAGAAATAAATGTAAGTAATAGGGGTTGATGAATGTCCTTTCCATCAGTGTGAACTCATGTATCTGACATCTCTCACTTTTCCTGTCGTTAAAACACTTCATTTCGCTGTTTGGTCGTCTGCCCAATCTGACGTTACTGTAAAGTCATTTATCGCTGTGGTGAAGCAGAACTGCTGTCTCTATTTTTATTACAGTGTGTGCTCATTAATCGACCTCTTACTGCGAGCAGAGAAGTAGAAATCAGGACGGTATTAGTCCCAGTTCCTGTGTTACTTTGTGATGCTTATAAGGTTCATTAATAGAAGGTAAGTCAGCTCCATTTATGTGAATTATTAAGGTTAAAACACTTCAGCTTATATTCTAAAAGCAGGTGTTTTATTTTAGAGCCATATTACAGACAAACATATTGACAGCCTGGTTTCCATAACTGATCATTTCCATCCTCTCTGTGGAGGGTCTGAAGCCACATGTCGCTTCTTTGACCTTCCTTCGCTCTTTGGGTAAGAAAAGAAAATCATCAACTCAGATTTTTGTTATTGTTTGATGTGCGAAATGCAACACAGCAGCTTTTAGGCACATTCACAGTACGTGTTTCACCCAAAAGTGGGCGTGGTCCTTCTGAAGACAAGAGGGGGAGGTATGTCTGCTCTCATGTATTTATTGCACCTGTATAAACAGTAAACAAATATAATACTGATGACTGATCACATGTCTTTACTTCTAATTGATGTTTGTAATATTTGTAATTCTGAGATTTTTTGATGTACCGTGTGTTAATTAAATATCCTCACATGGTCATAGGAGTAGAGTACCGTTTGGTCATCTTCAGTAACATTAAGATTTTAGTGAACATAACAAAATGATACTCGCAGCTCTGTGTTTAACCCATGGGGTAAACTAGATTGGCATGGCTGTGCGGTGCAAAAACACGTAGAGGCTGGCATTAAAATACGGTCGACACTGACGTATATTGCTTCTACTAACTTAAACAAGATAAAAGAGGACATGGTTACAGCAATGCAACACAGGAGTCAAAAGGGTGCAAGTTCTCTTGTACGTCAAAGTTGGAGGGAGAAGCAACGCAAGGATTGTACTGCTTCTGGAAAGACAGACGACTCCTATTAAATGAGACAAGACATTTTAAGGGTAAAGTATTATTATCTCATGTTTCCCTTTTTCTCCCTCTCTTCATTTTCCTTTTCCCTCCCCGACCCTTCCTACAGGCTGAAGATGAAGCTGGATTTGTTTGTGCTGTGTCTGTCACTTTTAGCGTTTTATACCCATTTTTCACTGGCCAAGAGATCAGGAGGAGGCGGCTTTGGGAAAAGCTTTGGCTCAAAGAAGACCTCCACATCCAACCGAGGCAGCACTAACACAGGCCACAAAAATAATCAGGGCTCCAGCTCTCAGGGTGGATACCCCAAACAGCCTGTACACCCCAACCAGGGAGGCCACCCTCCGCAATCAGGCAGACCTGGGTATCCGGGTAGTTACCCCCAGCAGCCGGGTAGAGGAGTTTACCATAACCAGTATCCAGCACAGGGCTCCCCATATGGAGGATATGGAGGTCAGGGAGGTTATGGAGGATATGGTGGTCAGGGCAGTTATGGTGGTGGATACATCAATAAAAACCCAAATAACAACATCCTGAGCCCTCGCTATGGCGGCAGCTTTGGATATGGGGGTCATGGTGTCGGGGGCGGCTCTCCCTTTTCCCGCTCGGTTCAGGCGAATGGCATGTATCCGTCTGATAAATCCAGAGGGTTTGGGCGCAGTGCGGTAATGGCAGCAGCTGGAGGAGCTATGGCAGGAATGGCCCTGGGCTACGGGTTAGGAAGGTTCCCGCGTCCTCACTTCAACTTCCACAGTCCTCAGGAGGAGTACTACTACAACAACTACATGTACAGGAAATATGGTGTCAAGTCTACTGATACCAATGACTACAGCAGAGACTACACGTACAGCCCACCTCCGGCAACCTACGATAGCTACATGGACTCTTGCATGAAGAGAACAGACCTTCTGCCTGCGGAGAATCGACAGCCAAACAACAAACCAGCTGCCACCACCACAACT